ACTATTAATAATCAAAGTTAATTAACAAAAATTAATAAATTTTTTTTCAAAATATATATATATATATATAAATCATTTGCTATTTTCTGCAATTGACATCATTTCTAGTACCTATTCGATTAATACTTAAAATTCTTCCATTGATAATTTTCCGTCTCCATTTTCATCCAATTCTTTTAGAACTTCATCAACATCATCTTTAGTGGGTTTATCAACACCTATATCTGAAGCTACATTAATCATTACTTATTCTAATTCGTTTTTTCTAAATATCCAGAACCATCTATATCTACAGATTTGAATGCAGTTTCAGTTATTTTTTTAAGTTTTTACTTATCTTTAAGTATTGATTTTATTCCACTTCCGCTCATTTTATTTTTTTTAATTAATTTATAGAAAATATATAAATAAAATTTGTAATGAATGTGTGAATTAAAAATATATTTTAATAAATAATTAAAATAAAAAGTAATTATATTAATTTTTTTATATTAAAAAAAAAAATTTAATATATTTATTATTAGCATATATATAATATAATAATATTTTTTTTTAATTTTATAATTATTGATACAATATTTAACTAAAATTTATATTATTTATGGTTTTTGAATTAAATTAAAGATTTTAAGTTATTTTAAAGTTTAAATTATTAAGATTAATTCAATAAAAACATTATTATAAAATTTAAGATATTAAAATTAAAAAAAAAAATATTATCTATTTTTGCATTTATTGCAATAATTTTAAAAAAAAAAAAGTTCAATATTAAAAAAAAAAACATTAAAAAAATATATTATATATAAAAAAAAAAAAAATTATATAATATTAGTAAACTAAAATATTGTATATTTAATATATATAAACTATTATAATTTATTATATAAATAAAATAAAAAAATATATATATATATATAAAATATATATATATTTTATTATATTATTATATTATTATATTATAAATATTTAATTTATTTATATTTTAATTTTTTTTTATAAATATTTTTTTTTTAAATTATAAAAATACTCATTTTTAGAAACATTGTTAAAATTTTAATTCATTTAAGATGATTTAACCAATATAAATCAAAAATTACAATTTTTTTATTTTGATAAAAAAAAAAAAATTATTTATTTTTTACTAATTGTTTTTATTTTATTTTTTTTATAAATATATTTCTTATTAAAAAATAAAGTAATATTTAATAATTTTATTATTAGGAAAAAAAAAATATAATAATATTTATATATATAAATATTAATATATATTTATATATAATATATATATATATATATATATATATATATATATATATATATATATATATTATAAACCAAAAAATAATAATAAATATTTTTAAAGATAATATGTACAATATGTATATAAAATAAAATTTTCTTATGAGCATTTTATTATTAATCAAATATTATAAAAAAAAAGATAAAAATTTATAAAAAGTATTCAAATTTCATTTATAATAAGATGATAATTGCTATAATAATCAAGTAATTTTAAATAATAAGAAATTATTAACATATTATAAAATCAATTAAATTGGCAATTAAAAAGAAAATGTAAAAATTTTAAAATAAATAATGAAATGTAAACAAAGATTTATATTTTATAAAAATGTTTAAACTTTATGAATTACTTTTATAATATATAATATAAAAAATGTCATATAACATTAATATAATATAATAGTTGTAATAAATAAAATTAAATATAATGCATAATTATGTTTATAAAGATATAAGAAAGAAAAAAATAAATTGATGAAACTAAATATTTGATAATATAATTAAAATACTAAATGATAAATAAAAAAAATTATTCTAATTTAAAAAAATAAAATCAAAGTGATATAAATATTTTTGATTTTTATTTAAAAATAAAAAAATATATTTATAAAATATAAAATATAGTATAAAATTTAATTTAAATTAGAACAACAATGCAAATAAGTAATTTTTAAAATTAAAAATAAAATAAATTAACAAAAATAATTTATTTAAGATTAAAAAATAAAAAAAATTAATAATGATAATAAAAATATAAATAATAATAATAATAATAATAATAATAATATAATAATAATAATAATAATATTACTATATATAAAAATATTTAATATATTATTTTAATAATTTACATAATAATAATTATCGTAATAATAATAAATATTTAATAATAATAATTTATTTAATAATCAAAAAATTTAAAATTTACAAATTTTTCATAACAAATAAAGTAATAACATCTTAAATATTAAACTATGTCAAAACATATTTAAATGATAAATATATTCTTTTTAAAATAATAATATTTTAAATATATAATGCAATAATTTTTTTCCTTTCAATTTTAAATAGTTTTATTTTTTATATATTTTTTGTTATAATTTTTTTTCGTTTTTTTAATATTGAAAGGGAAAAATATATTGTTTCCAATATTATTTAATGTGAAAAATATAAATGCATATTTGATATTTGTATAATATATATCAATAAAAAGAAAAAAAATAAAATAGAAAAATATATATTGAATATTAATGATTAACTAAAAAATATTTAAATCTAATAAAGGGCTTTTTTTTATTAAAAGAAACAGTAAAAAAAAGAAAAGAATCAAAAAAAAAAAAAATCATAAAAAAAACAAATAAATACAAATCTATAAATTGAAAAATTCTATTATAATATGAAAGCCCGTGAATCCTTATTTCATAATATTCCTTTTTGTCCAGTTCTTCATCCTTCTATGAAAGAATTTAGTGATTTCCCATCTTACATAGAAGTAATAGAAAAATAATATTCTAAAGACTATGGTATAGTCAAGGTACATAAAAATATTTTATTTTTATAAATTTTAATTTTTAAGTATGTTGAATTATAAATATACATTAATATATTTATTTTATGATTTTTTTTATTATATATATAAAATTTTATATTTATTTTATTCCATATTTATTTATATGTTTTAAAGATTGTTCCACCTAAAGAATGGAAGGCTAGAACTTCTGATTATACAGACTCTTTAGAAGATAAAGTAATTAGCGATCCGATAGAATAGAATCCTTATGGAAAAGGGGGTAAATATTTTTAATTTTATATTTAATTATAATTATCTTTAATGCATTTTTATTTATATTAATAATTATAATTATAATTAAAAAAAGTAATAGTACTAATAATTTGCCTTTTTAATTATTAATATATATTTATCTTTTTGTAATTTCACTAATTTTTTACTCTTTTAATTATTTTAATAAAAAAAATTTTCATTATATATTAAATAAACAATAAAATAAATAAATAGGAGTCTATGAATGTGTCCATATAATGAGAAAATCTATTCCTTTCAAAGAATATAGAAAAAAAGCTATGATATTTGATAAAGTCACAAACGGAAAATCAATAGAAGAAGTTGAAGATCTAGTATATAATTATAAAAAATAAAAAAAAAAACTATATTTTAAATAGTTTTGGAAAAATATTTCTTTTAGTCCTCCTTTATATGGTTCTGATATTTAAATGTCTATTTTTGATGAAGGTGTTAAATGGAATTTAAATAACTTAGATTCAATATTAAGGTTAAAATAAAATAAAAAATTTTAAATTTAAATAATATAATTTATAAAACATAGTTAAGGATTAAAATAAAAGATTTCTGGAGTAAATACACCTTATTTATACATAGGAAGTTGGAAAACACTATTCGCTTGGCATAAAGAAGACTTAGATTTAGGTGGAATAAACTATTTACATTATGGAAAACCAAAGTAAAAATAATACATTTTTATAAATAATAATAAATAATGAAAAAAAGATTCTGGTATTGTATTCCAAGAAGTGAAGATTATAAATTAGAAGCTATAGCAAAAGGTAATTTCCCAGAAGCTTATGCAAAATGTAATTAATACTTGAGACATAAAACTTCTATAATAAATCCTTATTAAATAATTAAGAAATGTAAAGGAGATATAAAAATGTCTAAAGTTGCTTAAAATGAAGGAGAATTCATTATTGTGTTTAGTGGAGCTTATCATACTGGATTTAATTGGGGTTATAATATAGCAGAAGCTGTAAATTTCGCTTCTTTGAATTGGCTAAAAATCTTTACAGAATGTAAGCCTTGTAAATGTCATAGTGATAATGTTAGTATAAATCCTGATGAGTTTATAAAAACTTTAGTAAAAAAAGACTTGATCTAAAAAATTGTGCTGAAGTAAAGAATTTCAAAGAGTGGGTAAAATAAAAAGAAATATATGAGGAAAAATAAAATAAATAATTTGATTCTTCTGATGAATAATCGAATAGTATTTAATAATAATAAATTTAAAAATAAAATATTAGAAAAAATATGAGTAGAGTAATAAAAAAATAAATTACAAAAAGAAGTAAAGGTTTAAGAAAAAAAAATAAGTTTTGATTACTTTACTTAAGAATACTTCATATTTAATGAAAGAAAAATAAAATTAAATTTAAAAAAACAACTTATAATTATTTTATTTTAAATATACATACATATATATAAAAATATATAAAATATATAAAAATATATTATATAAATATATATATTTATATATATACATATATATATATTTATCTATATTTATAAATCTTTTATATTTTCTATTTGTATATTTCTTTGATAATTCTTTTTATATTGTATTTTTATTTTTATATTTGTATTTTATTTTTATTATAAAAATACTTTAAATTTAATTAAAGTTTATATATTTAAAATATTTATATATCAATGTATTTAAATAAAAATGTTTTTTCTTATAAATCTATTAAATAGTGTATAAATATTTTAATTATATATTTTATGAAACATTTATATTATATTTAATTATTATCTTTATTATTAAATATAATTATTTTATTTATATATGTAAATTTAAACACTTTTATTTTTAAATATTAATCATTTTTTAATTAATTTTTTCAAATAAATTTTTTTATAGCATTGTATTTTTAATACATAACTAAAATATAATTATATTATTATATTTATATGTTTTTAATAATATATTAATTATTTTAATTATATAATTTTTATTCTTTAATTATATTTATTATTCTATATATTTATTCAAAATTTATTAAATTATTAAGCTTATATATATATATATAATTAAAAATTTCTTTTTCTTTTTTTATTTTATTTTATATTATTATTTATTTGATTTACCAAATAAAATTTATTAATTTTTTGATTTTTTTGATTTTTTAAATCTTATTTCTAGTTTATAAAATGAAATACATTTTTTTTTTTGAAATTTAAATAATTTTATTTTTAAAATCTATTTTTTTCATATATTTTATATTGATATTAAATTAAATCGTTTGTTCATTTTTTAAAAAATACTAATTTTCACATATTAAAGTCTCTAACGATTAAGGTACTACTTTATCTAATGTTCAAAATTTTCGGAGATTAATGACTTTTACGATCAACTAAATATAATAAAAAAAAAATTAAAAAAAACAAGTTTTAATTGAATTAGATGGGCATTTTTAATAATTAATATATAAATTTGATAAGGAAATAGAATTGATAAAAAAATTAATCTATATGATAAATTACATATAGTTACTGGATTACTGGGTGAGTCATATCATTAGTTTTTGTATTCTTATTTTTTAATGTATTTTATTTTACTATATTAAAATATAGCTTAAATATAAATATTTCTTAAAAAAAAATAGTTTTTTGAAAATTATAAAAAAAAATTGTATATAATTATTTAAACATAGAAAAATAAAAAGATTATAATTTAAATAAAATTACTATTTTAACTTTTAGCGCCGTGGGAAATAAAAATGATAAGTTTTTTTATAATAAAATATAATAATATTAAAATTGAAAATTTATTTAATAATATATATATGTATAATCTTTTTTTGCTTTTTATTAAAATATTTACATAATATTTTTTTTATTTTTTTTATTCTTTAATTTAAAACATAAAATAACACTTATAAAATTTTTATTACGTTTAAAAATTTACTTGAAATTATTAAAAAACAATATTACCTTTAAAACTTTAAAATAATAAATTTACACAATTATATTTTTATTGTAATTTTTATTTACATTGAATAATATATATTTTTAATAAGTTTTAAATATAATTATTACATAATTTTATAATAAGAGAATGAGTTAAAAAAATAAATATATATATCTATAAAAAATATTTTAATTTAAAATTATATATTAATACTCTAAAAACACAAATAATAAAATTATAATAATAAAAAAATATTATTATAAAATAAAAAAATTAAAATAAAAACTAAAAAAATAAAAAACTACCATTATGAAAAGAATCCCTCCATATTAGTTTTATTATAAAGATCAAATAGGAAAAGGTTCATTTGGTAATGTATATAAAGGGAAAAATATTTAAGCAAACGAAGTAGTAGCAATAAAAGTAATTAGTAAAAGTATGTTGCGAGCCAACGAATAAATATTGTAAAAAGCATTAGAAAATGAGATAAGATTATAAAAAACAATAATTAGTTAGAATGTAGTCAGAATGCTAGATGTAATAATGGGAAAGAACAATTATTATTTAATAATGGATTATTGTAATAGGGGAGAATTATCAGAAATAATATAAAAAAGGCGAATAATTCCTGAAATAGAAGCAATAGAAATTCTATGTTAAATTTTAAAAGGAATATATTCTTTATATGTGAAAAATATTGTACATAGAGATTTAAAACCAGGTAATATTTTAATTCATTTAAATAATAATAATGAAATAATTTATAAAATTTGCGATTTCGGATTTGCAAGAAGTATGGAAAATTCGGACTGTATTTGTATTTAATCAAAAGTAGGAACTGCACTTTATATGGACCCGAATATAATGGCTAGTAAGGATTATAACTATAAGTGTGATATTTGGTCTATAGGAATTATTTTCTATGAAATGATTTATGGAAAAACACCATGGGTAGCACGAAATGAGAGTGAATTGTTAAAGAATATTTAATAATAAGGACTTTATTTTGATTCTAGTATATATTTATCAGAAACTGCTAAGGATTTATTAAGGAGAATGCTGAGAAATAATTTGGATGAAAGAGTTAGTTATATGTAGATATTTAATCATCCTTTATTGGTTTATAAAATGCAAGAGTTTTTAGTAAATTATAATTCTTGTTTGAATTCTTGTTATTCGCCTTGCCCTTCTTTTAATAAAATTGAAATAGATAGTTTTTTGGAAGATGAAAAGAGTGAATAAGTATATTAAGTTGGGAGTAGTTAATTATTTTCAAATGGAAAATTTTAATCTTTTATAATGGAAAAATAAAACTAGAATTAAAATATAATTTTTTAATAGGAAAATTTAGAATAGAAAGAAATTGATGAAGAACTTATTGTAGATATTTTATTTTATTTAATTGAAAACTCAAAGTTGGATTTTAAGAAATTTTAAGAAGTTTTTTATGATGGAGAATATGACTTAATTGAATTTAGGAAAATTATTTAAAGTTATTTTCATTATTCGAATAAAAAATGTGAGTATATTTTCTATGGAATACTTGCTATTCTTAATGAAATTTAAAATAATTGCCTACCTATGGATTTTTAGAATATTTAAATGTAAAAATTTGTTATTAAATATGAAGATATTATCTATTTGTTTTTGAAGTTAGATGAAACTTATTATGATTTTCATTTATAATAAAAAATTATTGAAATAGAAGAATTAGAATAGTAAAAATAATAGGAAGAAGAGGAAGAGGAAGAAGAAAATGATGAATAATAGTAAGAATCGTAAAATTTTTAGTCTGTTTTGGAAATTTAGGAAGAATAGCAATTTTAAGATGAAAATGAAAATTTTTAAAGATATTATGGTTCTTAATAATAATAAATATAAGAGGAAGAAGAAAAAAAATAAGGAGAATAAGAAAATTTTTGTTAAAATTATTACTAAATGAAAATGTCAAATAATAATACTTATTATGGATAATTAGAAAATTAAATATATTTATAAAACGAAAATATTTTGGATAATTAATTGAAAGATAATTCAAATAATGTTTTTTAAAATATAGATATATAATTTAATATTGAAGAAAAATTTAAAAGTTACTCAAAAACTCCTTAAAATTAAGCTTATAATACTTTTGATTTATAATAAAGAACGAAATCTTTTACTAGTTAATATAATTAATAAATAGAATAATAAAAAGATAAAAAATTAGAAGATTAAAAAGTCCTTTAATTTGATTTTTTATAATAATAAAATAATTTAGATCCATATTAAATAGAAAAAAAAATTAAAAATAAGAACTTTATACAAATAAAATTAATTAAAATTATAATTTATAAAATTATGAAAATATTTATCCAAATAATTAAAATATTTTTACTTATTAAGATCCTATATACAATAATAAAGACCTAATCTTAAATTATGTAAATACTAAAATATTAGAAGACGATAGTAATAAAATTTAAGAAAAAATATAAAATGAAAGAAATAAACTTATTGATAAAGACTTTACAACAAATGATACTTAAAAATATTTAAATTTTTATTAATTTAATAATATTTAAATAGGAATAGATAATTAAGTTCTTCCTAAAGAAGAGAAAAAAATTATTAATTAAGATAAAGATTTGAAGAAAGAATAAACCTAAAATATTAAATAGGAAGATAATTTTGTTTTAAAAGGGTTTTAATGTGACGAAACAATAAACAATAAATACAAAAATATAAATTATATAACTAACTAAGAATATAATATAGATAATAAGATTTATAATTATACAAATAAAATGATTGACATTAACAATAATAATATAAATTAATAGAAAGATGATATTTATATAGAAAGTAATGAAAATAAGTAAAATAAATTAATTTAAATTGGTTCTAGTATTTATTAAGAAGAAAATTAAAAAAAAATAGAGGAATAGAAATTTGAAAAACAGAATGAAAATTAAAATGATAATTAAAATTAGGATAATAAAGTAGATTTAATTAAATAAATAGATGATTATTTTTTAAAATTATAATAAAATTAATAAAATATAAATGACTATGTAAATAAAATTATTTATTCTGATTAGAATACTTAAATTTAAAAAGAATATTAAAAAGAAAATTAAGATAATTAATAATAAAATTATAAAAGTTTTTAAAATGAGCAGAATGATAATAAATAATCGTAAAAAAAAATATACATAAATATATTTAAAAAAAATAATATAATTTTAATAAATATAAAAGAATTAATAAAAATATATAATTATGTATTGAAAATTAACAATATAAATAATTTTATATAAAATATAATATATATTTAATTTAAACGTATTAATATTTTAAAAAAGGTAACAATTTTCGCTTGAATAATCAGGAATTTCATAGATTTTTTAAGATTATGATAAACATAAATAATTTAATATAAATTATAATTATGATTATAAATATAATCCATATTTATGAATAATTTTTACTTATTTTATATAATATTATTTTTCTTCAATTATAAATTCTCTGAATATGATATTTAATTATATAATATTATATATTTATTTATTTATAATTTTCATTATATATTTTTGTATCACTTTAAATTTATTAAAAATATAAAAGTATTTTTTTTATAAAAAGCATAAAAATAAAATTGCTCTTTAAAATACATTTAAAATCTATTTCTTTAATTTTTATAAAAGCCTGTAATATAATATCTGTTTTAATTTATTAGAAAAATCATGTAAAAAGTAATTATAATAGTAAAACTTTAATTATAACTGATAAATAATTAAAAAGAGATTATTTAAAAATTATTATAAATATAAGCAAATTTTAATTATTATATATATAAATATATAAATATATTAATATATAAATATATATATATAATTCTAAATAACTATATTTTAATATAAATAAATTTAATTTATTAATTAATTATTTTTTTCTAAGTATAATATTAGTTCTTTGTTATTAATATAAATTTCTTTATTTAAATAAAAAATATTAATTTAATATAATTCTATTGTATTTATCATTTTAAAATATATTAAATTAAAAGTATTTATTATATTTAAAATATTAATATTATATATAATATCTTTAATATAATAAATAGTAAAATGATAAAAATAGCAACTTTTATGTATTTAATATTAAATTAAAATAAGCTTTAATCATAAATAGATTTTATTATTAATAAAAATTCGAACAAATGCTTTTATAATTTTCAAAATTCACATAAATTATTACACGTCTTAAAAGAATAAATTTTGCAAATATAAAAAAAGTAATCATACTTTAATAATAAATACACTCCAAAACTAATAATAATTTAAAGATAAGTTAATAGTCCTAAATAATTTGGTGTAAAAAAAATTGAATATTATTAATTTAAAGGCAAATCAAATAATATAAAATATTAAACTTTTAGCATTATTTTAAGAACATATTATTAATGTATTTATACTAATCTTTATTAAATTTTAATTTAATGGCAAATATAGTAAAATTGAATAATAAATATACACTTAAAAGTTGATGAATCTGTTAAAACAATAAACTTTAAGTTAAACAAATGATATTATAATTAATTTTGTAAAAAAAAATAAAAAATACTAAGTTAAATAAGATTATTAATTCAGAAAATTTTAATAATTAGAATAATAAGAAATTCCTATTATATGGCGAAATAAACGAGATTGATAAAAATATTAATAGATAATCTAAATATCATAATTTAAAAAAATCATTCAGACATACATATGATAATTTACATTTTTAAAGAAGAAATATTATAATTATAAGATATTCCTAAACAATCAATATAGTCTATAATTAAAATATAAAAAAAATGAAAGTAAATTAGATAAAATTTAGGCTAATTAAAGGTTAATATTGTTTTAGTTTAAAATTAGGAATAATCTTAGAAATTGCATGAAATTAAATTTTAGAAAAATATGAAGAATTATAAAATATTATAATTATATTTTAATTGAATATAGTTATTATAAATATATAATTTGTTAAATTATATTAATAAAGATTAATTGTATAAATTGTATTAATAATTTACCAAAAAGAAATGATAAGTTATTTCTGGACATATAATTTTATATAATAAAAGCTGAAATATCAATATTTAAAATAATATAAATGTTAATATTATAATAATATTTGAAATTTCACTGATTACATATGAAAAATAATAAAAAAGAATATATAAAATAAATAAATATAAAAATAAAGATTAAGAGAAAAATTTAAATTATATTATACATATTTATATTTTTTTGTTACTAAGTATTAATAATTATTTACATTTTTTTATTTTTTTCTATTAATATAAATCTTTATTATTATAATTATTATTTTCTAATTTAATATTTTAAATATAAATATAAATTCATAGTATTTTTTAAATTATAAATAATATAACTAATAAAATATATTAATAAGTTTATTTTATGTCAAATCATTTTTACATTTTTTCTAAATTTACATTTGCCTTAAATATAAAATTTCATTATTAATGTTTTTAAGTTTGTAAATATAATTTAATATATAGATTTAAAAGGATTATAATTATATAAAATTTAAAAATAAATAAAATTTTAAAATATATATTTTTTTATATTTTAAGATAATTAATTTATGCATATTTATATTAGAATTTATATATTATTATATAAAATATATTCAATCGTCTAAAATTTATATTTTATATTAATATAATAAAAAAAATTATAAAAGTAAAATTAATTGAATTATTATTTCAAAAAATTATTTGATTAATTTAATTTTGAAAAATTTGTGATTAAATATTTTTCAAAATAACAATAGTATTAAATAAATTTAATATTTTAAAAGTATTTTTTTTTTAAATTATTGCTTATATATATATATATATATTCTTTATTATTATTTTATATTTTTTTATTCTATTAAACTTAAATTAAATTAATATTAAAAATCCTCATAATTTTTTGTTTTTCATTAGTTTATTATTTTTTGCTATTTTAAAAAAATCTAATCACAAATTATAATATTATATTAATTATTTTATATCTATTAGTAAAAATGAAATTTTTTTAAATATAGACAAATGGTTAAAATTAATAATGTTTTTATATTTAATGAATAAAAATATTATTTTATTATCTCAATATATATATATATGTTCATTATTTTTATATTTTATACTTTTTTATTATTTTCTTTCTTTGAATTTTTAAATTTATAGGTTATAAAATTATTCTAATAAACTATTATAGAAAAATTATGTACTAATAAAATTAAATTTATATTTATTTATCTTATCTTATTATTTGTAAACTCATAATTTTGTCTGATTTAATGTTATTACTCAATTAGGAGTAATTTGTATTTTTATGAAAATTTAATATAAATGTGCATTCATTTTATCAACTTTATTAAAATTATGGCAAACACAAAGAACTAATATTAACAAAATAAAAAATTAAAGACATAAATTTATATAATAATTTATTATAATTTAAAATAATATTTTAATTCATTATAAAATTATTTAAATCAATACTCGTTTTATAAATATTTATTCATTAATATTTTTTTAAATAACTTTTTTAATGAATAAATGAATGTAAATATATTATGATGATAATAAAATATAATATTTATTAAGTACAAAATGAAACATTATTAAAAAAATTAAATTAAAACAGAGAATAAGCAATTTATTTATATAGATAATATATTAATATAATTTATATTAAATAAAAATTAAAATATTTATTAATTTTTATTTTGATATAAATAATCTTACAAGATTTAATTGCTTTTTTTAATTACTTTTTTAAAAATATAATTTTTTTTACACTTCACTTATTTATAATTTATATATAAATAATTTTATTCTTTATTAAAAAAAAAAAAAAAAGGCCTAAAATATAAAATAAAAAAAAAATCTAAAAAAGAAAATTATTTTAAATTGACATTAAATAAATAAAAAACTAAAAAAATATATATAAAAAAAAATATACTATTCAATTTTTTTTTTTTTGAATACAATACAAAAAATATATATATATTATAAAAAATGAAAATGTTGCCTTAATAATAATTATAAATAAATTCCAAAATTCAGATTTCACATGAAATCATCAATAAAAAAATTTTTTCCGAGTCTAAAATTGAATAAAATTAAATCAAATAATAATCAAATATTGAAAGAAACAAAGAATATGAAATTCTTAACAAATGTTATTTGGAATATTTAAAAGTAAATATATATATATATATAATTAATTAATGTATATTATTATTTTAATTAAAGGGAAATAAACAATTAATGAATTAATTAATAAATCAAATAACAAGCAATTCTTAGAAAAAAGAACAAATCAGTAGGTGGATGTTAGCAGTACAATAGACGTTAGCAGATATATATAGAAGCAAAGACTAAAAATATAATAAAAGTGATGCCAATTACTTAATAGAAGTGACTTTGTATTAAATGCCATGGTTTGAATCCGGAAATGAGCATGAAATTAGAGAATAAGAAGAAGAATAATTAAAAAAATAGAAATATACACCCCAAAAAAGCAGTAGTTCATTATTTAGTAATTGCTCGAATTAAAAAAAGAATGAATTGATATTGAAAAAAGCTTCTCCTCATTTCGAATTGTTTAATGATTTGTCAAGATTTATTATGACTTTGCTTTCCTTTAACTGTTCTTATGGAATTTAAATAATAAAATTTTTAGTATCAAATATAATACCAATGTATATATTTTTTTTATAAATATATATATATTTTCTTTTTTATAAATAAATTTATATACATCTATCTATATTATTCTTTCAATTTTTTTATTTATTTTTTTGTTTGATTAAAAAAATAAATAAAGACAAGTAAAAGAATCAGAATAAAAAAAAAAAATTAAATTGAATTAAATATTAATGGAAGTACTTTCGAAAACCAAAAAAAAGTCCTTTTACATATAAAACAACTTTTAGATAAATATATTTTAAATAGTGTTAGTGATTTTAAATAATTAATATAAGAAGATTAGTAATTTTTCTTATCACTTTTATAACATCATCCCAATTCTAAAGAAAAAATGGAAAACTTTAAAGAATTATTAATTGGATAAGCTTAATTTGGAGAAACAATTTCTAGATGTCTGTATATATTGGACACTAATAAAAATAAAAGAGATATTTCTTATGTAAAAAGTTTATAAAATCTTGTCGACAATTAATACTAAAAAAATGTATTGTTTAAATAAGGATCCCCTAATAATTTAAAAATGATGACTTAAATTATTCAATTATTAGCCAAAATTAGCAAAACATTCCCTTTATTCTAAAATGAAGTAACATAAGTAATTTTAGAATTTTATCCTCATAAAATGTAAAACGAATAATTCCATAAAATTTATATTACTAATATATTACAACTTTCGATTATAAATCCTTAAATTATGAGCAAAATATTACATATAATTATCTAAAAAATTATAGAAATAGATTCTGAAATAAAAGTAATATATATAACATAAATTTTATATTTATTTTTTAATAAAATAGGAAGTTTAATTTGATACAAATACAAATTAAACAATGGCAGAAAAATTAGACTGGATAATGTTAATTCTATTTTAATTTATAGACTTATTATTAAATGAAAAGATTGGGGAAGAAACATGTTTTGGAATTATATAAAAAAACGAAAAAAATATTATAAACGAAAATGATTTATTTTAAATTTTCATAAGTATTTTTAATGAATAAATATTATTAACTTTCAAAAGTAAATATGTATAATTTTTAATTTTTTATTTGTGTTCATAAAGAGAATCTTTTAAAAAGCTTTTTTTATCAAATTTAATAAATAATATAATAAAAAAAAATCCTCTATTATATAAATCTACAAAAATAAACTCGATTTATTACCTAGGAAGTTTTCTAGCCCGTGCAAAATACGTAGACTAGTAAATAATATTGAAAGTCTTTAAAATATTAATTGATCATTTAAAAAAATATTTATAAAAATTCAGCGATATATAAAAAGAGGAAAATTATAATGAATGTTTACATGAAATACATTAAAACCTTTACCATTTATTATAGTCTATGATATATATATTATGCTTTAGATATAAGAATTTAAAAAAAGATGAAAGAAAACTTATTATGGACGAATTCTTTTTTATTATGAAATAGGCATGTTAAAATTTTAATGCACTTTTCTTTATTACATCTTATATTTAAGATGTTTTTGTGGAATTATGCTAGTTTTATGAATTAAGCGATTTTGCATAGCTTTTTAATAATTATTCAAATATTAAATAAAAAAAACAAATTCTTGATGTATATTTCCCTTTTGATCCGTATTGTCTTTAGTATAGCGATAAATATATAATAGATATATATTAAAATTGGTAAGATTTGTAAAATAATTCTCTTGATGAAACTAAAAATAATATGAATGTGAGCTTTAATTACGGATTTATAAATGATAAAATTAAAAATATAAGTGATATATAATATGATAGGGAAAATATGATTGATGATATAAATTATAAAAATAACCATAATTAAGGAAGAAAATATGATCAATCGTAAATAAATACACCTTTAACATAAGATGATGATAATAATTAATAAGGTATGCATGTAAATAGAAAATCATATAAAAGAAAACACAATAATGATAATGAAAATAATATTATTATATAATAATAATAATAATAATAATAATAATAATAATAATAATAATAAAAAATTAAAAAAATGTAATAATAATATTATTAATAATAACAATTTTAATATAATAATTTTAATCTAAACGATTATTCATTTGGAAATTAAATTAAATAAATCTGCAACGAATTTAATTTTAAAGAAAGTTCTTTTTGAGAAGAAGGTTTTTTTTTATTTTTTTATTATTTTAATATTAAAAAAAATTAATTAAATTTTTATACTTTTAATAATAAAAAATATTAATTTTATTATATATAAATGTATTATATTAATATTGTTTTTTTTCTTCACTTTTTAAACATAATATTTTTTATATTATTATTTGTTTTTTATTTCTATTTACTTTAGACTTTATTATTTTTTTTCAATAATTTTTATACCATTTTTAATTGTTTTTTATTATTTTTAAATTATTTTAATCTATTTATAATTATTATTTTAATTGTTTGTTGGTTTTTTGTTTATTTTTTTGCTTTTTTATATATTTTTTTATTTAAAAAATAATATTATTTATTTTAATATTTTTGAAATAAAAAAAATAAAACAACAATTTTTTTTAAAAATAAAAAAATTTAAAAATTAATAACAATTTGAATACAAATAATAAAAGTAATTAAATTAATTAACCTATAATTTCTTTATTTTATTTTATTTTACTTTTTTTTTTTTTTAAAAAAAAAATATAAATAAAAAATATATAAATCAATTATAGATATAATACAATAAAAATAAAAAAATGAATTAATCAAATAAACTTGCTAAATGATGAATAAGCTATAGAATGCAAAAATTATATGACTTAACACATATTTAGTGAAATAGAAAAGATATTTTAAGAAAACTAGCAATAATGTGATTTAAAAAACAGCGAAAATAAAACTAACATTAAATAAGTTGAAGAGGAAACAAATAAATTTAAAAATACTACAAATGAATTAATATAATTACTAGGAGGTATATATTAAAAAAATATAAATATATAAATTATAAATTTTATAAATAAAAAAAATAAATTAAAAAGAAACATATAAATATATTTTAAATACTCCTAAGTTAAATAAAGAAACTAAAGCACATATAATAAACATAAATTAATCTTTAGAAATATTAACAAAATATTCTAAATAATAAAGATTCACTTTAAGTTATAATATGTATTTACAAAGTTATTTTTAGAGAATAAAAAAGGAATTAAATGAAATAATTGAGGATATTTAAGCTTTAAATCGTTCCGGATGTTGTGGAAATTCAACGTATAAAATAAAATAAAATAAGTTAAATTTTTTATTTTTTTAGAATAAAGAAAAAATTAGATACAAACATTCCCAAATATTTAAAAATACAATTAATTTTTTTCTAACATTTAGAAGGTTTTTAAGGCGCTTAGATTCAAAGGGAAATATATTATTAGTTAGATTAAAATATAAACGATATAAAGAAAAAAATTAAAGCTCATATTGATAAATATTTTATTACTGACGGAAAAATTATAGAAGTTAAGTTACCTCCTTAAATTATTTACAAAGATAAAATTGTGGAAAAATAAGTAATAAAAACAGAATATGTATATAAAGAGGAAGGCTTACTTTGTCAAGCACATGAATATTTTTTTGGAATAGGAACTCCTTAGTAAATTCGAAAAGGTTTAGATTTATATAATTTAGAAGCTAATAAAGATAATGTAAAAGCTTTAAATACTTTAGGGTAAATATATTTTGAAGGAAAAATAGTACCTTAAGATTTAAAAAGATCATATTAATATTATTTCAAATCTTCAGAAAAAGGAGATCCAGAAGGAATGTATAGAATCGGATAATATTATGAAGTAACTTTTCGAAAAAATATTTATATATATATATATATATATATATATATTTATTATATGTCATTCTAAACTATATTATTTTATATTATATTTTTTTTTTAATTAATATAGAAAGGACTAATAAAAGAATTAAAACTAGAGTAACTAAATGATAATAGAAATGATATAGAAAAATCTATAGAATATTATAAATAAGCAGCTGAAAAAATGCATTATGATGCAATTGCTGATTTAGGTTATATTTATGAAAACGGATAAAAAGATAAAGAAGGAAATATTTTAGTTTAATAAAATATTGAATAAGCCGAAAAAATATACAAAAAAGCATAAGAATTGGAAAATTGTCCTAGAATTTGTAATAATTTAGGAACTTTATTTTTCAAAAAACTAGATAGAGATTAAGCTTTAAAGTATTTCTAATAAGCTGATTAAAATCATAATTCTTAGGGGTCTTTAAATTTGGGTATTTGTTATTTAAAAGGATATGGAATCAAAAAGGATATTGAAAAAGGTATGGATTATTTGAAAAAAGCGGCTAAGAAAGGAAATAATGAGGCAAAATTATAATTTTGTTATTATTTATTATAATAAGCAAGTGAAGTGGATAATGAAAACGAATACTTTTAAGCAGCTAATTATTTAAGAGAAATACTTTCCAATGATAATAATAATTCCGAAGCCTTATTTTATTTAGGATTTTTACATGAATTGGGATTAGGAGTTGTTTAAGATTATAAAACAGCAATTAAATTTTATTTGTAATTTTTATACTTAATTTTAATAAAATATAAATTTAATTAAAAAAAAAGTATATCAGGATAATAAGAAAATGACAAATCTTTAAATAAAATAGGAGATATATATTATTCAGGTCTATATTTTAAATATATATATATATTAATTAAATTTATTTATAAATATTAATTTATATATATATATATATATATGTATATATATTACATTTTTATATTAACATATATATTAATTTTTAATTATAAAAGGTGTTGGATTATAAAAAGATTATAGAAAAGCTATTGAATTTTATAATAAATCTGCTTCATATGGAAATACAGATGCTTTAGTAAATCTTGGGTTTTTTTTTATTTTATATATTAATAATATTGAATTTTTTAATTAAGTGCTATATATGAGGAAGGATGTGAAAATATTGTATAGTAAGACTTTGTTAAAGCATATGAATTTTACAACAAAGCTGCTAAACTTGGAAGTGCTGAAGCATGGACTAATATTGGTTTAATGATCGAAATGGGAAGAATCTAAGATAAGTAAGCAAATGATGCCTATTAAGCATATTTGACTGCTAGTTAAAAGGGAGATTTGAATTCTTTGGATATTTTAAAAGATAAAGTTTTAGCTTTGTAAAGTGATTATATTTATTTGGGATATGCTACAATGTAAGGTGATGAAAATAATTAAATTTTGCAATAAAATACTCAATAAATATTGGATTAATATAGGTCTGTAGTAAGCAGTTAGTAATAAAATGTTTTAAAATCAAAAATATTATAAAAACAGGAAAAAGATAATTTACTTTTTTATAAATTTTGAAAAGTTTTTTTTTTTTTATAAAATATATTTATTTTAACTTTTTGTTATTTTTTTAAAATATATTTTTAATCTTAAGTTTTATAATTTTTTCTATTAGTAAGTTATTCTTATTTTTTTTTATTTTTAATTATAAATACTTGAATATATTAGTTTATTATATAATCTAATTCATTGATAATTAAATAAAAAAAAAAATACATAAATACAAAATTTCTATTAATATTAATTTTCAAATATTTTAATTATATATAAAATTTATATATAACTCAATTAAATAAAAATGATTAGTAAAATGGATATTAATAACTTCATAATTATTATTAAATTAATAAAATAAATTAAAAAAATAAAATATATAATAGGATAATTAAAAAATAAATATATATATATTATTTATATATATATATATTTATGTATATATATATATATTTATTTAACACTCTTATTATTAATTAATTTATTATTTTTGTTTTATTTTAAATAAATGATTTATATAATAACTAATTATCTTTTTTCATTTTAATCATTAATTGATTTAAAATTATATTCAAAATAAAAACAACAATGTTTTTATATCTTTTATTAGAAATGTATAATTCTTTGTCAGAAAAATTAAAGCATCTTAATTAATAATATTAATATATATGTGTTTTTTACATCTTTCAATAGTGTTTTTAATAAAAATATAATTGAATTTTTAGAAAACTAAAAAATATATATTAAATTATATATAGAATATATAGAAAATTTAGATTAGTTTTAATTTTAGATGGTTTATCACCTAGCATATCTTTATGAAATAAATAATACTTTATTATTTAATTTTTGATTATTTGGAAGTAATTATTTAAAATTTATATATATTATTATATATTTTGAAATAATTTAAGGAGAAGATAACTATATTAAAATATGAAATATTTTAAATAAATTTATTATAAATACTATAAGCATGTTTTATGATTTATTTTATATTAGAATTTTTACTATTTAATTGATTTAAATTTTAATATTTTTTAATGTAGTATTAATATTATTTCAGATATATTAATTATATAAATAAAAAAATATTTATTAAAATTTCCTAAATAATAATTAAATTATTTGTCTTTTATTAATTTTTTTGCTTAAAGGAATAGAAAAAAGAAAAAAAGTTTATCTTTGTAGTATTTTTTAATAAATAAAATATATTAAAAATTATATAATGTTTTTTTTAATTAAAAATATTAAAAAACGTATTGATTTTTATATTATATATAAATTTATATTTTACATTATTTTAATAATATTTTTATTAAATTTTATATTATAAAATAATCAAATAATTCATATATATATAAAATTTAAAAATAAAATAAAAAAGCATATAATAAATAATATATAAAATAATTATAAAAAATATAATTTTTATATATTTATACATATTAAATTAATTTATTTTTTTATTATTATTATATCATTTATCTTTAATTTAATTAAATCAACTAATGTATTATTGTATATAATATTAATTTTTATAAAAAATATATAAAATAATTATAATATAATTAAATATATATATATATATTTAAATTAATTAAACTTAAATAATACAATAAATATCTTTTATTAGTAAAAAAATTTATATTAATTTTATTTGTTATTTTAAAATATTTATTTTCCTTTCAATAAATTTTAATATATTAATATTAATATTAATATAAAATAATTAATACAGTAGTTAAATATAGTTATATTTTAATTAGATAATATTAGTCATTAAAAAATAATTAATTTTTATTTTTTCGTAAAAATTATAAAAGGCAAAATATTATAAACAAAAATTATAAAAATATTATTATAAAAAAATTATAAAAATATTGTTTTTATTAAAATACCAATAAAAGAAAAAAAAAAAAAAAAAAAAAAAACACATAAAAAAAAACATAAAATAAATAATGAATAAATTTTAAAATGAAAAAAATGAAATAAGAAGGCATTAAGATGGTTTTTCATTCGGATATAGAGGCACAAAAGGCGTATCTTATTTAGATGCTGTATTAAATTAAAATAATCCATGTGTCGGGTAATAATATAAAGTATGAAAAAATAAAAACTTGATCAATAATATAAAAATTAAAATAAAATATAATATATATAATTAAAATAATAATTTTATAAAATATATATTTATAAAAAAAGTACTTATAATATCTAAAAATGTTTATATGCTCATGATACTAAAATAAAAAATGGCAAATTCGGTTCTTAAGACCGTTTTCCATTAATAAAAAAGTCTCCAGGTCCAGGTGATTATAATGTAAATTAATAAAAGCTTTTAGTTAAAAATTAAAAGTAATTGTTTTTCACCGAAAGTTCTAGAAGTAATATAAATGATTCAAATTAATCAAATGATATGGGGCCAGGCTTTTATTATTCTTAAAAAATAGAGAATACTAAAGGTATATATAATTAATATTATTTTTTATTTTAAATAAAATAGGAGTAATTAATTTTTCTAAATATTCGTCTAGATAATAATAATTAAATAATAAATAAATGGATAATACTCCTTCCGTGGGAACATATACTATAAATAGAAATAATTTATTAAGCTTTGATTCTCCTTCTTTTTCAAAAAGTGTAAGAAAATATTAAACATTTACATATGCACCTGGTCCTGGTTAATATTAAGTTAATGATATTTTAAAAGGCTCAAAATCTTAAATAATTACTACTATGTCAACTTCTAAAAGATTCGAAGAATTTAAATATAATACTAATTCTTAAACTCCGGGCCCTGGAAATTACGATTTTAATGAATTGAAAATAAAATATTAAAATCCTTCTTAATATTCTATTGCTTAAAAATTATCTTCTTCTTAATTATTTCCTAAGGATAAGTAAAACAAAATATTAATTTATAGGTTTATATATATTTTTATATAGAATACCAGGACCAAATTAATATGATTAAATAGTTGAAAAACCTAAATAATCAATTAAAATAGGGACTTCAAATAGACCTGGAGTGGGTAATGGAGTACCTGGTGTAGGATCTTATGATGTAAATAAATTTTATGAGAAAAAATATTCGATTAATGAATAAAAAATAGATTAAAATAATTCAAGAAACAGCTCAAATGGTTTCGAAGATACTATAATGAGTAAACTGGAAATGAAAAAGTTAAAAATAATAGAAAATTCGCCTAATTTAAATAAAATTAATATATAAAAAATGATTGATAAAAATATTCCTCTTTCTGTTTTGTATTAATTAAATAGTCCTTCTCCATAACATTATGATAGTAAAATTATTCAAAAAGAAAAAGATATTAAATTTGCAAAGAGTTAAAGGAAAAATGAATTTATTGATGTTTTTAATTAAAATTAAAAATAATAAAGATCACCAGGACCTGCTTTTTATCAAAAAGATTAAAAATAATTAATTTCGGAAGGTGGAAGAACTATTAGTAAGTAAAAAAAGCCGAAGGAAATTTTCTAAATACCGGAAAGCCCGAGTGTGGGAACTTATAATATTCATACAAGTGATATTAACAAGTTTTAAAAGGACGATTTCAACCTTTATAATGATTATAATAGAAATAAGTCGCTATCCAAATTCGCAAAAACTAAAAAAGATGATTAAGAAAACATTAATAATAGTAAAAATAATGATAGTGAAGAAAAATAACAACAAATAAGTGAAAATTGAATATTTTTTGTTTTTTTTTTTTTACTAAAAATTACTTTTTAAAATATTGATTTTCTATTTTTTTATTAAATATGTATGAAAATTATTTTTATATATATATATATAATATACTTTCTTTCTTTTATATTAAAAAATGACTTATTATATATATATAATTACTATTACTTAATATATATATATATATATATATATATATTTTCTTCTAAATAATATATTATTTTTTTTTTTCTTTTTTTTTAATTTAAAAAAAGAAAGAAGAAAAAAATAAAAAATAATATTTTTTTCTCTCTCAACAACATCCACCTTATTTTTTTATATTATTAATATCTTCACCAGCTCTAATTCTAGTTTTGCCTGAAGCTTGATTTCCTCCCTTATTATTATCGCTGCTTTTTTAGACTCTACTTATGATTTCAGTAGCTAAAGTAACAAATGCATTTTCTACATTACTTGCTGTTAACGCAGAAGTCTCTATAAATTTAATTCCTAAAGAATCAGCCAATTCTTTACCTTCATCAAAGCTCACTTGTCTTTTATTTTCTAAATCAATTTTATTTCCTACTAAAAGCTTTATAACGTTTTCGTTTGCGTTTTTGTCTGCTTCGGCAAGCCAATTGTCAATGTCTTTAAATGTCTATCTATCGGTTATATCGTAAACTAAAATTATACCATGGGCACCTTTATAGTAGGAAGATGTGATAGTTTTGAAACGTTCTTAACCGGCAGTATCCCATATTTATAATTTAACAGCTTTTCCTTGCTTTTTTGTTTGTTTGTTTTTTTTGTTATTTTTTTAAAGATTTTTGTTTGTTTGTTTTTTTTTACAATATCAAATGTTCTTATTTTAAAATCTACACCTATTGTAGGCAAAAAGCATTCGTTGAATATGTTATCGGAAAAACGAAGAAGTAAAGATGATTTTCCAACTGAAGAATTTCCAATTAAAAGTAATTTAAATAAATAATCGTAGTCTTATTATAAACTCATGTTTTTTATTTTTATTTTTAAATAATTTTTTTTTTTTTTTTCCCTTTTTATATATTTATTTTTTATTTTTATTTCTATATATTTTTTTTTTTTACCTTTGTTTAAAATTATTTAGTTTATGTTTTGTTTTAATAAAAAATTTTAGGAATTTATTATTGGAAAAAAATTAAAATATAAATTATATTTATGTTTTAGATAAAATTAAAAAGGAAATAAAAATGAAATTTTAATAGAAAAAAATTATTAATATTAAAAAAAAAATATATTATATATAATTAAAATAGAATATTCATTATTTTATATTCTTATAATAATCAATGTAATATAGTAAAAATAAAATATTTTATAAATTTATACATAGATTTACGCTTTATAATTATTTCTCATATTATAAGATTAAATTATTATAAACAAATTAATTTAGCTATTAAAGTAACTTATTTTTTTTTATTATAAATAAAATTTAAGTTATTATTATTTATATATATATATATATACTAAAAATTAATACATTTTTAATTCTAGAACAAAAAAAATTTCATATATAACAAGAACATATTGATTAAACTTTATTACATATTTTTTCTTAAAAAAATAGCATTTCATAAATAAAATTATGATTTTACTTATAATACTAACAAATAATTTATAAAAAATAAAAATATAAGAGCAAAATTAAAAATACCTGTAAAATTATCTAAAAATACACAATTAAATAATTTTTATTAAAAGAATATTATATATGATTATGTATTAATATAAAAAAAAGTATTCACAAATTAATTTCATTTAAAATTACTAATAAAATTATTATACGAATAATTATTATTAAAATATATAATAGAAAGTTTTATTCCTATAAAATTAATAGACTATTTTCTTACAATAGTTAAACAAATTTTTTCCAATTAAACTATTTCGGATCGGATGAAATTATGTAGATAAAATATATACCAATTATTCTAAATTTATAATAAGCTCTTCCCCAGGCTTCTTAAAAAATAAACATCCTTATATATGTATATTATTTTTTAAAGGGAATATAAAATAAATAACGTTATTTGACATCTATAGGTATACTTTATATAAATAGTTGGATATTTTTTTTTTTTATACTTTGGCTATTTTGAAATTCGAGAAATGAAGACTTTTGTAGCAGAATCTCATATGAATTCTATAGATGTAAGTATAGAAATTATTCACTGATTTGAATTCGCTTTTACCTTTAGGATGAGCTAATATAAATTACTTACCGATAATATAGTAGGGAAATATGTTTATGCCTGTATTTATAGATAGGTAATAATATGATAAATAGTTTGATCATTGTACATATTCAGGAACAAAATATGCTATTAGATTGCTGATATAAGTTATTTTTCTCAAATATTCGTCTGAATTAGTTAGTTTAGCAATTCAAAATGGAATAAAGGGCATCATTTTTAATTTCTGGACAATATTTATTATCTAAAAGGTTGTAAATAAAGAATTTTTAAGTAATAGTAATATTTCTAATATACTTATTTTAATAAAAAAGCTTTTATTAAATAAAAAAAGGTATATTAATTTTAATATTAATCTTAATAAAAATTGTACATATTATTTAAAATTATTATTTATAGTAAAATTTTATAAGTATAAATATTTATTTTTTGAAAATTAATATATTATAAGATAGAAAGAAAAAATTTAATTTAATTTTTCTTATAATTTATAATTCAAGATTAATTAATATTATTAATATTTAAATTAATTTATATATATTTTAATTATAATTTTAGTTAAATATAATAAAAAAAAATATATTAATATATAAAATAAATAAATAATGTAAATATATATATTTATATATATATATATATATATATATATATATATATATATATATTTATCATTTGTATAAAAAATATGGCTTTATAATATAATCAAAAATATTTTATAAGCATTAGTCATTTTTATATTATTTTAAAACTTCTTCAGATATTCTAAATGATTAATCTCTCATTTATATAATATTTTCTCTTAAATAATTTTCTTTAATATTTTATTCATTTAATTAAAATAAGCACTAATCTGTATGATTCTCCACTACTCTGCAAATTTATGCCCCTAAATTCTCACATTTTTATATTTCGAAAAATGATAAATGGGCTCCTAGTATATTTAAATAAATACTATTAAAAGGAGTAAACGGAGGAATTATTCTATATTTTTTTTAAACGTCTTATATTTAATTTAAATGGTTGTTTTGCAACGATTTCATTTAACGAAGTGGATGATTTTATTAAATATTTTTAAAATAATGCAAGCTTTCTAATATGTATATTGTTTATTATTTAAATAGCATATGCGATTATATTACATATCTTACAAGATTTTATTTAGCCATTTTTTTTTTCAGATTAAAAATAAAAATAAAAATATGAATTTTATATATAAAATATAATAAAGATATTATCATTATATATATAATATTATATTATATATATATTTTATTAAAATAAATTACAAATAATTTTAATTATTTATAATAAATAAAATTAATTTATTAACGAATTAAAACACTTTAAAAAAATAATTATTTATTTTTTAAAAGATTATATGATTTTTTTCAAAAAAAAGCTTTTACCTTAAATAAATATTTTATAATTTATAATAAAAACTTAATTATAATAGAAAATAATAAAGACAATTTATGATTATTTTAAATTCTAAATTAATAATAACATTTAAAATATATTTATTATATTGAAAAATACTTATAAAAAAATTGAAACAAAAAAAGTATGGGTAATGCTTGTTGTTGCAATAGTCAACCATAATATGAATAAGTTCATACAGAAGGTAAACAACCTGAAATTTATGAAAGCGAATTTTAAAATTTACGACATATACCATAAGTACCTCTAGGTTTATTCTTTTCTTTAAAATAAAATAAAAAAATTAAATAAATATAGATTTCTAATAAAAAAAATAAAATTATTAAAGTACAAATGATAAAGACAATAATTTTCCTTAATCATAAATAGCTAAAATAATATAAATAATTCCAAATTATCTAAATTAATATTCAAAGTAAACTTTAGAAAAATAAGGCAATTTTATTTACGACCAAGACGATCCTGATGATAAAGAATTACCTGTTTCAGGCCCTTATGAATTTGAAAACGGGGCTGTATATATAGGTTAATGGAAAAACGGAAATAGACATGGTAAAGGGACATAATATTGGCCAGACGGTAGTTTATATGAAGGATATTGGAAAAATAGTAAAATAAAAAATATAAATATACATAAGTATCATATTAAAATAAAAAAAAGATATGTCAGAAGGAAAAGGAAGACTAATACATGCAGATGGAGATGTCTATATAGGAAATTGGAAAAAAGATAAAGCGAATGGTTTTGGGGTTTATTTGCATATTGATAATGCAAAATATGAAGGGGAATGGCTTGATGATAAATAACATGGGAAAGGAACTGAGTCCTGGCCTAATGGGGCTTTTTTTATAGGGGAATATTTTGAAGGTAAAAAGGAAGGGAAAGGTACTTTTAAATGGGCTGATGGGTCTTTTTATGAAGGAAATTTTAATAATAATTAAATTCATGGGTTTGGGAAATATATTTGGCCGGATAATCGGACATATGAAGGTGAGTGGTAATTCAATAAAATGGAAGGTAAAGGAATTTTTGATTGGGCTGATGGGAAAAATTATTAAGGGGAATATTTAAATGATAAAAGACATGGGTATGGGGTTTTTAAATGGCCAGATGGTATTTTATTTTTATATATTTAAATATTTATTGTTTTTATAAAAAGGAAAATTTATAAAGGATAATGGGTATAAGGTAAATAGCATGGAGTTGGGCATTTTATTAATTTAGAAGGGATAGAAATAAAAGGTGTTTGGGTTGATGGAAAAAGAGAAAAATTGTATATTTTTATTAATAAATATAAAAGTTATATATATTTTTATTTAATTTTTAATTGTAAAAAAAATAAAAAAAAAGAATTGATGAAGATGGAAATGAAACAAAAGATGATGATAGTATTGAATAAGATTATATTGATAAATAAGCGAATTCAATTTTTTAAATTAAAAAATAAAAAATAAAAAAATAAGAAAAATAAATAAAGGAAGTCAATTTTTAGGAGAAAAAAAATGAATCTAAAATTAAACATTGATGTAAGTATTTTTAATAGTATATTGAAAAAATAAAAATAAAAAATATTAGATTATTTATGAAAGTATTGGCATTAAAATAATTAATAATGATAAAAATAAGTTAAAATATTAACTTTGTTTTATTTTATTTATAAATTAAATAATTATTATATATATATTTTTTTTTTTATATATATAATATAAATAAAAATATTAAAATAATTTTTTCGTTATTTTAATATAAAAAAATGAAAAATTAATAATAATAATAATAAGCTTTTTTTAGTTTAAATACACATAGATATAATTCTTCAGATTATAAATAAAAAAATATAAGCCCAAATAATTAATTGAATAAAAATCATTAGAAATTTAGTTAATAAGATAACTTTTAAATGTAACAAAAAAAAAATTAAATAATAAAAAATAGGGAAAACTTAACATTTAATGGAATAAGTAAAAGTAAAAAAAAAAAAAAAAAAAAAAAAACTTATATATTTAATAATAAAGAAAAAATATGAAAGATTATTTAAGAATTATTCCGAAATCTATATCATATGATAAAGAATAACTTTATGAAAATTTAATTAAAACTAAATAAACAGTTAATTGTTTAACAAATGAAATAACAAAAATTAGAGCATCAAATAATAGTTTAAGAGTATATTTTTTATTTTTTTTAAATTAATTTTTATTTAAATGATTTTATAGGAAGAAATTAGTAAATTTATAATCTAAGATTAAAAATAACCTATTATATCAAACGCATTATCTTTTTTGAATAAAGATTAAAATGAAGTTTTAAATAATTATAATTATTTTTTTAGAAAAAAAATAGAATTCTATAATACCTAATTTAAAAAAATAAGTATAATATTTAAACAATTAATTAGTCTAAAAAGAAAAAGAATCAAATTTATTAAAAAGAAAAACAAAACTTACAAAAATATCTGAATTAGAAGTAAATTTCTTATATAAATATATATAAATATAAAAATATTTATATATAAAAATATATATATATAAATATATTTTATTTAAAAAAAAAAATTATTAATATTTATTAAATTTATATTAATAATAATATTCGATTTTCTCTGAAAATTCTTATTTCTTTGGTATATATTATACAAACAGATTGAAATAAAATAATTTTAAGATGAAACTATTAGATTGAAATATCTACTTTAATAATCATTAAACTATGGAAAAAATAAGGATTAGTTTAAATAAATATATTTTTTTTATTTAATAAAGTTAAAAAATAAAGGTTTATTCAATATAATTTACACGAAAGTTATTTAAATTAATTAAATTAAATAAACAATTTATAAAAGCAGAAAAAAGAATAATAAAATAAAATTTAAGAATTAAACTAATAAATATAAAATTTAAACGAAAATATAATAAAACTAGAAAAACAAAACTAACTTTTATAAAATGAAAAAAATATGTACAAAAATTCTTTATCCTAAAAAGAAAAAGAAATATAATAATATGATTTAGCTCAATATAGTGATTAAAAAAAAAATATTCTTTAAACCGAAAGTTAATTAAAAATTGAATTAAATAATAAAATTGAAAAATGCAATAAATATTAAAAAAACATTCATTTATAAAACATAAAAATCAAAGAAATTGAAAATAAATTTAAAAAAGCAATTTAAGATTATGAAATTAAGCTTGCCGAATAAGTTGAATAGAACTAAATTTTAGCTTAAAAAAATGAAAAGGAACACCAAGAATATTTAGAGTTATAAGAAAAATTTGAAAAATATTTTCCTATGAGAAGATATAATAATAAGAAATTCGATTCTATGAAAGTAATTAATTATATAAATATATTTTATTTTATTGTGTATTTTATATTTTAAAAAAAAAAAGAATCCCACTTTTATATCGCTAGATGGTAATATTGAAGGATCTCTAAAAATTGAATTTTCGAAAAATTTAAATGAAGGAACACCAAGGTAAGCATGTATTAAAAAAAAAAGATTATCATAAACTAATAACTAAATGGCTTTTTAAGTTGCTAAAGAGATTAAATATAAAATGATTTTTAAAAATATTTCTTATGAAAATGTTTAAATAGTAATAAATAAATATATTTAAATTTTATTATAGAAATTTATATATAGATATTTAATAGTTTTAATTAAAATATTAAAGATAATTTATGCTTATAAAAATTAAAATAATTTTTCTAAAAGTAATTTTTATAAATGATATATTTTTAAATAGAATATTTAACAAAAACATATAAAAGTGAGCCATTTTGTGTATAAAATGAAGAATAATTAAAAAGTATTTTAAAATACTTTTTAAATGATGAATGTATTTAAGAGGATTAATTAGAATATTAATAAATTAATATTCAAATTATAAAAGATAAATTCATAAAACTTTTCTTACCATATTAAATCTTAAATAAAAATAATAGCTAAGAAATACATTATAATCTAGCACTAGTAATAAGATAAAAAAAAAAAAAAATATATGAATATAATATATAAAAATAAAATAAATATATATATATATATAATATATAGGTATTTATATATATTATTTAAATTTATACATATATATATTTTTATAATTTTCAAATATATATATTATTAGTTCTTTTAAAAAAATTCTCTTATTTTTAATAATTATTTTAAAAATTAAAATTATTAACTAATAAGTCGATAGTAATTTACTGATTTTCTAATTGATAATAATTTAAGTCTTGATACTAATTAATTAGAATATATATATTAGTTATCCTATATTATTAATTAAAATATATCTTATCTTAATTTTGAATAATTATTAGCAACTTTATATGAAAAAATATAAACGGATTGGAAATTATTAAAGAAGAGTTTTGAAAAAATAATCAAAAAAATATTTATTAAGAAAATATAAAGAATAAAATTATTTTAAAAATTTATATATATATAATTATGTATATATTTATATATAATATATAAATATTAAAAAAAAAAATTAAATTCAAAAATATATTAATATTTTATTGAATATTTGATAAAAATACATTCAAAAAATTCTAAATATTTTTTTTGAATTTCTTGTTTAATATTAAAAATATTAAATATATATATATATATATAAATAAATTTTGTTAGTGTTTTCTTTCATTTATATTTATAATATTTTTTTTTTTATAAAAGTAAAAACTGAAAAATAGAAAAACTATTTAATTGAAAGTAAATGAGCACAAATGAAGATGGAGTAAATATTAGAGTAATTTGCAGAATGAGACCTTTAAATAATTTAGAAAAATCAACAGGAGGTTAAAAATGCGTAGAATATACAAATACGACAATTTAAGTTACTTTGATGGGTGAAAAACCATAAGAATTCACTTTTGATAGAATTATTAATCCAAGTACAAATTAAAAAGAAGTTTTTGAAATAGTGGCTTGTCCAGTTATTGAAAGTTATTATTTTTAATCTTTAATTTAGTTTAAAATATTTATAATAAATATAATTTTGAAATTAAATAAGGTGTTATGTAAGGATACAATGGAACAATATTTTGTTATGGATAAACATCTTCTGGGAAAACATTTACTATGGAAGTAAATTATAAATATAATATATTTACATATATTATTTCTTATGTTTTTATTATTATAAAATAAATTTAAAAAAGGGTCCTGATAATTATACAGATGAAACAAAAGGTATTTTTATATATAAAATTAAATTAATTTACAAAAATATAGGTTTAATACCAAGAATGATGGAAAAAGTTTTCGATTTAATAATAAATGCAAGTGAAGATTAAGAATTTTAAATAAAGGTTTCATTTATAGAAATTTATAATGAAAGAATAATTGATTTAATTGATAGTATAAATTTAAATATAATAATCTTTTTAAAATAAAATTTTCAATTAATTTAAAAAAAAGACACAAAATAAAATTTATAAGTAAAAGAATGTAAAACAAGAGGAATTTATATATAAGATGCGTCTGAAATATTTGTAACCTCTACCTATGAAATGCTAGAAATTATGAAAGCTGGTTCTTTGAATAGAACTTAAGCAGCAACAAGAATGAATGAGCGATCTTCAAGATCTCATAGTTTATTTTATCTTTAAGTTTATAAAAAAAATATTGCTACAGATACTACTACTATAAGTAAATTATATTTCGTTGATTTAGCCGGAAGTGAAAAAGTAATATATATATATATATATATATATATATATATATATATATATATATTTTAGATAAGTAAAACAAATGTATCTGGTTAATAATTAGAAGAAGCGAAAAATATAAATAAATCATTAACATGTTTAGGTATGGTTATAAATGCTTTAACTTCTAATGGAAAAGAACATATTCCTTACAGAGATTCTAAATTGACAAGAATTTTATAAGAATCTTTAGGAGGAAATGCAAAAACAACTTTAGTTATTAATATTTCTATGTGCTCTTATAATGATAAGGAAATTTTGTAAACTTTAAGATTTGGTTTTAGAGCGAAAAGTATTAAAAATAAAGCTAAAAAAAATGAGGAAAAATCTGCTAAAGAATTAATGCTTTTATTAGATTAGGCAAACAATAAAATTAAATATTAAGAAGAGATAATAAATACTTTATAATTATAGTTAGGTGAAGAAACAACAGGATAAAGGCCAAGAAATAATACTGTAAAAGAAAACAATAATAATGAAGAAATTAAAAAAGTAAATAAAATATAATAAAATAATAATAATAATATTAATAATAATAATAATAATAATAATAATAATAATAATAATAGTTAATAATAAACATAGTCTATGAAAATTTTATAATAACATTTGGAAATTTTAAAATTAAAGGAATAATTTCAAAATTGTAATTAATTAAAATTAGATTTAGAAATTGAATTATTAAATAAATAAAATGAAATTTAATCTGTATTTTTTTTTCTAATGTATATTATTTTTATAATTAAAATAATTAGTTAAAAGATAATATTGAAGATTTAAAAAATTTAGCTGATAATTAGGAAAAAAATTATAAATAAATAATTGAAAAAGAATTAAAATAAAAAATAATTTCAGAAAATAATTATCATGAGATTATTGATTAATTTGAGTTAGTTAAATAACATCTTGATTTTTGTTTGATTAGTTAAAAAGTTTCAGAAGAAAATAATAATAATATATAATCTGATAATAAATAAGATGAGATTCTTAATTAAATTAATATATATGTTTAATAAATTTAATGTTTAAATGATAATATTTTAAAAAACGGATTTGTTTCTTTGTAAACCTAAAATTTAGATAATTCTTAAGTATTAAATATATATAAAAAAAATGTTTGTAATTTTATTTTACATAAAATAAAGTAAAAAATTGAAAATTTGTAAATAGAATATGATTAATTGAATAATTCTTTTAAAGATATTTTTGAAAAAAGTGAGGATGTAAATTTTAAATTAAATATAGATTAAAGTAGTGAGGAAAATAATATTTCTGAAAAAAAATAAAATTAATTAAAAGATAAAGTAATATATATATATATATATATATATATATATATATATATATATTCTAGTCTGATAATTCTATTAAAATTGTAGAAGAAATCGCTTCTTCTTTTATTGAATATAATAATAAATCTTAAATTGATATAAAAATGGAATAAAATTTAATTTATTTATAAGAACTTATTCATTCTTAAAATCAATAAATTTAATTTCTAAGTATTGAAAACGATAAATAATTAAATTTAATTAATAAATATAAAACATAAAACATATCTTTGTAAAATAAATACATTACTATTGTTGGCAATTTAAAAAAATATTGTTAAAATAAAATTTAACAAAAATAAAATTAAATTGTTTCTTTAAGAAGTACTATTGTAATTTGTTTTTGTTATTATTTTCAATTATTTAAATATAATTAAAAATTAAATAAAAATAGAAAAACTTATAAGAACAAATTAATATATAAAATTTAGAAACTTAAAAAAACAATACTACTAAAGATTAAGAAATTAATTAACTATTATATTAAATAGATTAATTAAGAGAGTATTTTAAATAATATATTGATTTTTTTTTTATTTTAAATTATAGAAATTTAGAAAATAAAGATCTTATAGATAGTCTTTAAAAAATTTAAAGTCAAAATTCTGAATTAATAAAAGATAAAAATTAATTATTTTAAAAACTTTAAAATTATAAAGAATAAATTGACTAATATGAAGAAAAAATAAAATAGTATAAATAATAATTAGAAATAAATTCTTAAAAACACGAATGTTAAAAGCCAATCAATTCTAACACAAATATAGAATCTTTAGGAAGATAAAGTGTAATTTCAAATCCAAAATTACAAATAAATAATTTAATTAAACCTAGTATTAGGGGAGGTATATATTTATAAATTTATTTTTACTTTTATTCATAAAATTAATTTAAAAGGTGGAGGAAAAATATCTAATTATTAAAAAAATAATTAGTTTTTATTCTCAATGTGTATTGAAGAAGATGATATTATGAAAGATTAAAAAATAGAAGAAAATATAAAAAATAATAATATTAGTCCTACTTAGTTAATGAAGAAAATAATTGACACTGATGATGAAGAAGATGAAATTAAACCTAGTGTATTTAATTTTTAAAAAAGTATAAAACATTTTTAATAAAAAATAAATTAAAATACAAACTAATAATAAATATAGCAATAATAGATAAATTAATAATAAAATAATAATTTATTATTTAATAGAATTAAAAGATTTTTTTATTGATTTGTATAAGAGAATAACAGTATTAACCTTTTTTTTCATAATTTCAGATTATATAGAATATTTTAAAATAAAATTAGTAGTATATATGATATGTATTCGTATGTATTTTTTTTATTTTTTTGTATATTATCACTTTAAATGTATTCTAATTTTTATATCGCATTATATATAAAAACTATATTGAAAAACAGTAGATAAATATAAAATCAAATTTTATTTTATTCAATTAAATTTATTAAAAATAATAAAAAAATGGCAATTTTTTTTATTAAATTAATTATTTTTATAAAAGAATATAAAATATATAAAAAAATAGATATATAAATATATATAAATAAATAAATAAACATAATATATTCAAAAATATTTATATAAAAATAAAAATAAGTATTTATATTATTAATATATATATAAAATTTATAATATATATATTTATTTATATTTATATATATATATATATTTTATATATGTATCAATGTATTTTTTATATATGTAAATATTTATTTATATATTAATTCATTCAAAAAACATATATTATTTATATTTTTATTTACTAATGATGAAAATATTTATAAATTTTTTCTATAATATGCTTTATTTATGATATTATTTGTTTTTTTTTGAAAAAATAAATAATTATATATGATATTTATTATCATTTATTTTAAATATATGCATTAATGACATACATTTAAAAAAAAAATTGTAAAATATTTATAATAATAAATTCTGTATTTTATTTAGTTTTGTCTTATTATACAAATTTTAAGTAATAAATTTAATAAGTCATTTAATATATATATTTAAATATATATATATAATATATATATATATATACATATATATATCATTATATTCATTTTAATTTTTAAAATATTTGCATTACTAAGCTATAAATATGATATAATTATTCTTTATAATTTTTCCTATAAATATCTTTTAATTAATAGTTAGTTTTATTTTATTATTTTATTTTAATTAATTTATTATAATAATAATAAACAAATTTATATAAATATATTATTTATAAATATTTAAAAATTTTATTTAAGAATTTGTAAATAAAAAAAGTCATAATAAATTATTTATATAATCTATAAAATATATATTTATAATATATATTAAAATTAACTAATTATTTTTACACACAATTTAAATAATTGTGTATTTTAATTGACCTAAATGTAAAAATATAATAAATCACAATAATTATTCAATATTTAATAATTACGATAATTTAAACAGTTTCGATTGTGTATATTAATATTTTTGAATGCTTCATATTTAAATGACAACCATATTTATTTTATAATCATATTATTTTTACTTTTCAATTAACTTTATAGAATCAATTTAAATATAGATTATTAATTGAAATATTTTATTATATTCTATTCAGTAAATTTTAAATTTATATATATTATATTATATTGTAGAATATCAAAATTAAAATAAAATTGAAATTTTAATATTTTGTTTTTATATTATAATAAGCATTATTTTTTTATTTAATTCATCATTATATTCGATTTAAAAATTTTCATAAATATAAAAACAAAATTTAAATGTTATTTATAATTTGGTTAGAACCTATTCAATAAATAAAAAGTTTTAATAATTATGGTTTTATATCCGTGCTTTTTATTTGTATAAGTGGTAATGGGAGTATTTAAAGTTTTGATGATAAATGTTATAAAATAGGGTTTGATTATATTTAAGCAAAACCTTTTAATATAAATAATTTATATGCAGCTTTTATAAAATATTTCGAGTAATTTTGCAAACATGAAATTTCCTTTTTTTACTTTTGAAAAGAAATATAAAAATAAATAATAAAATTTTAATTATAATTATATTTATAAAAGTTAATATTAAAAATTATATAAATATATATTTATTAATAATGTATATATATACTATATAAAAATATATTTATTATTAATGTATATATATATATATTAAAATTTATTTATTTATATTTTTTAAAAAGTTTTATATATTTATATTTAAAATATAAACTAATTTATTTGCATAAGTTTAATATATTTTAAATACAACTGGTTAACTATATATAAATAATTTATTATAAGAAGTATTTTAAAAAATATTTACATATTTTATCACAAAAATGATAATAAGATTTATTTTTTAAAAAATAAAATAATAATAATAATTTATCTTACTTTAACTATAAAAAAAAATTAAATATATGATGGATTTTATTTAAACAATAATAATACTTAAATAAAAAAATAAATAAACTTAATTAAAAATTCATAAATATTTTAAATACTAACTTTATTTCTTTATATATATAAACTATTTTTATTATTTATAAAAAATCTTTTCATTCTCTATCATCCCAATTTCCTTAATTTTAAGGCATTTTAGGACCTCCTGCTTATTTAGCAATAACAATCTAATAATATTTCAAATAAGATATAAAAAATAAAAATACCTAATCAACTTTAAGAATTGTAATTGCAGCATCAACAGCTAATCTAATAGCCCATGATTTACTTAACAAATGGTCATAAACGCCAAGTTCACTAGATTTATTAATAGTTCCATTCTATTAAATATATTTAATAAATAAAAAATATATATTTTACATTTATATCAATTCCATGAGATTAAACAGCATTAGCAGTAATTAATTTTGGAATAATTTCATTAGAATTCAAGCCTGCATTTTCAGCCAAAATTCTAGGAATAATTTCAAATGATAAAGCAAATCTATTAAATGCATACTAAGATAAATCTTCTAAATCTTTAGCATCTTATTATAATTTTTAAGAAATCATCAATTCAGTAGCCCCAGCACCAGGAACTAAAAAAAAAATATTATATATTTATAAAATAATAATAAGCAAATAATATATACCGAATCTTCCATCCTTAAGTAAACATCTATATACATTAACTGCATCATCAATAGCTCTTTCTATATCATCTAAAAGATTATGAGTAGATCCTCTAAGTACAATAGTATTAAGTTTACAATCTTCATTTTCTTTCTTTATAATAGTAACTTTTTGGCTTCCGATTTCCTAAACAGTAGCACTATCACAGAATCCAATTTCTTCAGGAGTAGGGGCATCTACTCTTGCAATAGGGGAAGCTCCTAAGGCTTTACAAATTCTCTTTAGTTCGAACTTAGATTGTACTTTTACGATCATCATTTTATATTTTTCAATATAATGGAGTACTATTTCAGATATAGAACCTCCGGCTATTATTAAGTTTATACCAGCATCAGCAATTCTCTTTACTATATTTTCGGCGTGTTTTTCTTCGGATTTAGTGTAGTTTAGGAGCTCATTAGCATTTTTAATTAATACAGTTCCTTTAGTTTCGGATTATTGGGTATCTAAAGGACATGAATATACAGCTACTTTAGGGTTTGTGACGTGAGTTATGGAACCTTCGGAACTTCTTTGGATTATTAAACCTTATTATACATAAGAATCTTCTATAGCAGCTCCCATTATTTTACATACACGGACAAATTCTAAATCGAAGTCGTGATGATTGTCAGGTTTTGAATTTATACATGCTTAAGATACTAATCTTGAAAACATGCTTGCATAACTTATTTTTTATTTATATATATAAATATTTTATGATTATTTTTACTGTATTAATTTAGATTATAAAGCAGAACGTATAGCTTTAGTTACTTATTCTACATTTTTAGGATCATCGACAGTAAATTCAGTTAAGGTTTCTAAATAAGTAATTGTTGCTTTTAAAGCTTGTTCATATCCAGTTATTATCTAAGAAGGATGGAGACCCATTTTAATCAAATTTTCGGCTTAAGAAAGAATTTCACCAGATAAAGCTATTACTAAGTTTGTGGCATCTCCGCATTCATTTTCTTACATTTTAGAGGCCATTATGATCATTTTAGCTGCAGGGTGTTATACTTCAAGCTTATTTTTTGTTAATTTAAATTTTTTTTAGTTTTTTTTACTTCTTGCATTATTGTGGCAGCGTCGGATGTTACGAAAATCTTATCTAAGTGATTTATTACCATCTTTTTCATACCGTTTGGACCTAAAGAAGTTTTGGTCATGTTAGATATTTCTTTACAGGCGTTAATGTTTTTAAGAACGGCTTCTTCCATTCCTGAGAAATGTTTATGTCCCTTTTTTATATTTTAATTTAATTATTTTGGCTTTTAATTTTTTTTTTTAAAGGTACTTCTTTTAAAAGACTGTTAACTCCATATGATTATTATAGTGACATTTTTTTTTATTTTTATTTAATACTTTATATATTAGTTTTTTTTTTATTTTTTTAATATATATAATTATATATATATATATATATATATATAATATATTATATATATTTTTATTTAGATTTATAATTAATATAATATATATTTTTTATTTAATTTTTAAAAATATTTAAAAAATTTAAAAAGATTTTTATATATTTATATTTTTTATTTATAATTTTATATTAATTTTTTATATATAAATTATTATTTAAATAAATTATTTATATTAAAATATCTAATCTTTATTTTTATTATTTTTCAAAAAAGAATGAAAAAGCAAATTATATTAATTTATTTTTTTTAATTATCAATTTTTTGTAAAATATTAGTTATTTATTATAACAAAAAAATTAAAATTAGTATATATAATTAAAAACACATATAAAATAAAAAAAAAACATTAATATTATAAATAAATTACTTTTAATAATACATAAAGTTTTATTATTAGGCTAATGAAAAAAGATTAGTTTTATATTTATAGTATATATATTAAATGCATTTTCATAAATTATTATTAGTTCAGAAAATATTAGATAAATTATAATTTATAATAAAATAATAAAAAGATTAAATATTTAAAATAAACACAAAAATTAAATTTAAACATAAAATTATATAAAAATTATTTTATAAAAATAAAAATTTAAAGTTTACAAATATAAATAAGTAATTAAAGACTTTTTTTTATAATTTAACGAAAAAAAAATATTAAATATATATTTTAAGCATAATAAAAGTAATAAATATGTAAAAAATAATAAAAATTTTAAAAAATTAAAAATTTTAGAATAGCAATTAAATAAACTCATAAAATATAAAAATCATTACAACATATTCAAAAAATAAATTAAAGATAAAAGTTTGAATAACAATGAAAAATTAAAAAATAAAACAAATATATAATCTACCTAAACTTGAAAATAAAACAAAATAATATATTAATTATTTTAGCTTTCGAAATGTATATTAAAACAGTCAAATAATTAAATTTGATTCAAAATATGATTATAAAATTAAAAAATAAGTATTTAATTATTAAAAATTTTTTGTTTCTATATAACAAAAAAATAATATATTTATAAAATAGTAAGCAAATATTAAAATATAAAAATAATTAAATATGTAAAGAACAAATGAATAAATAAAATTTATTATGAATTTAATTTTAAATAATTTTATTTAATATGTTTAAAATGATTTTTAAATAAATGAATAAAAATGCAAAAAAATAAAGAATAGATATTAATAAATTTTAGTAAATAAAAATATATATATATATATATATATATATATATATATATATATATATATATATACATTTAAATTTATATATTCTTTTATTTATTTTCAAATTTCTTAATGTTTAAAAATAAATAATTGATTATGATTAAATTAATTTAAAATATTAATTAGATTTAAACACATAGAGTCAAATAAAAAGGAATTTATCATAAATGTATTATAAATACATTTTGTTTATTAATTTTATAAAATTTTTTTTTTATTTTTAAATAATTATGTTGAATATAAAAATTTGCTTAAAAATATTTTATAATATTAAATATAAATAAACATAAATATAATTAAATTCAATAAAAAATGTTAAATCTTTTGTTTTTTTAAATATTTAAAAAAATTTTTAATGTTTAAATAATTCAATCTTATATTAATATAATAATATAAATAAAGAAAAAAAAATATAAGTTTATAATTATTCTATAAATAAAAAACTATCGTTTCTATAAATATTCATATTAAAATAAATAATTCTTATTTTTTTATAATAATTTAAATATATGCAAATTTCTTTAATTGACAAATTCATCATATAAATATTTTATATAAAAACATAAATAACTACTTAATATGTAATAAGAAAATATCAAAATAATATAACTTTTTTAAAAAAAATATAAAATAATTTTATTGAAATTAAATATATTTTTTTTGTATCATAAAAAAAATACATAAAATTTTTTCATAATTATCTAACTATTAATTTAAAATCTACCCATCTCTTATTATGAATTACAATATCATATATTTATTTAGTTTTTTCCTTTCCTTTAATAATTTAAAATTTATCAATTTTATCAATTCGACATGTACCTTAATTAGTTTTATATTATCCTGTATATTTCCAACAACAATTACTTAAAAAAAGATCTTTAATAATAAATTTCATTTCTAAACTAAAAAAAATATATAAAAGACTATAAAAAAAAATACCATTATTAGCATTTTTATTAGTTAAGAATATAATTAACCCCAAAGACACCAAAACCTAAAGTTAAAAGTCTATCATTTTAATAATCTAAGCATTTATTATTAATACAAAATCCTTTGATAATTAAACCATTAAAAGAAAACTCTTATTTAATTGGATTACTAACTTCATTATTATATTATTTTTTTGAAATAAATGTCTATAATAAATCGTGATCATTTTAAATATTTTTTAAATCACAAATAATAATTTCTTTATCTTTTATATGATTTTAGTATAAAGTTTAATTGGGAGCTAATATAATTTAGGAGTTAGTTTAATATAAATTCATTATTGCTGTTAAAGAATCAATGTTTAAATGTTCTGATATTTTGATTTATATTTATTTTATGTAGGTGTGCATTGATATTTATGTTAGCTTTATTTTTAACTAACATTTAGGAATATATATAATTAAATCTATATTCCAATCATATACTTTTTTCATTTATTATTTTCTAATATAAAAATTTATAATATTTATTAATTTATATATTATTTTGATTTTTGCTTTATAAAATATAAGTCAAATTTTTCTTTATTGTTTGAATATTTTTATTTTTTTAATATTTCTTATTATTTTATGATTATATATTTTATTTTTTATTTTAATGTTTATTGAGATTTTTTTTTTTAAATAAAGTAATATGATTGTGTTAAAGTTAAAATTTAATTTTAGATTTATTTAGTTTATTAGCTTTGTTAGGAAATAATAAAAATAATTTAATAAAAGAAATTATTGTCTAAAATATATTCCTTTAACTTATATTTGATTTAACATTATTTTAAACATATAAAGTTATGAATAAATTAAATTATTGTCTTGTATGTTAATAATTATAATTACTCAGATTTAATTAATATTATAATATTTAAGATTTTGAATAATTTTTATTTCAATTAAAGGTTTTTTAAAATTTTTTTTTTTAAAAAAAATTATATATTATTTATTTTATAAAATATAAAAAAAAGATATTTATTTCACAAAAAATTACATTTTTAGTACTTTTAATATTATTATTTCTAAGTAATTAATTCAAACCTTAAAAAGAATTGTAAACATTATTATTAATATTTATATATTTTTTAAAACTATATAATTATTTTTAAAATCTTTAATTAGGAAAAACATATGAAATTCTATTTTTTTAGCAAAAGATAAAGCTTTATAGAAATCTCATTAATTCCTCATCATACATAAAGCAATATTATTCGTAAAGCACTTCTAGATATTCGAGCCACACAATGTATTAAAGTTTTCCTTTTTCAAATCAATTTAATATTTCTTATTTATATATGTGTTTATATATTTATATATTTATATATTTATATATATATATATATATATGTATATATATTTATTTTAAATCTCAATATTTATTATTTACTATTATAAATAAATTATATTAATTAGTATTCTATTTATTAATTATAAACCATAAACTATTTTTAGTACTCAGTTTAACCCTTTTTAAATTAATATATTTATATTGAGTGAGATGAAATAACCAACAATCAATAATTGGTCTTTCGATAAATATATGCCTTTTTCGATTATTAAATTTATGTTTTTTATTAAGCTACGTTTAGTAGAATTATTTTAACATTTTTTATTTGATTTATAAAATATTTTTGTTGTTGTTTTAAAAAATTACTATTTTAGCAATTTTATAAATTTTCCCTTTTTTTTTATCTTTTATCAATAAAAGAGTTAATTATATAAATAAAAATATATATATATATATATTTTTTTTAAAAAAAAAAAAGAAAAAAAAAATATATATATACATACATACATATATATATATATAAGCATACATATATAAATATGTAAGAAAATTATTTAAAAAATGCTATCTTATAAAAAAAGGAAAACTTTCGCATAGAAATTCGAAAAAACCGTAATCTTTAAGAATTTGCATTAAAAAGATAAAAACTAATATTATGTACCCAAAAAGATATTTCCTAAGAGGAACAAGATGAATAAACTCCATTATCTTAAAACATATAAAATTTAAAGAAACATTTTCTAAATGGAGATCAGGAAAATTTACATAAAACATTAATTTAAATAAGAAAAATAACATGCTTAAAGGAAAAAGAGAATACTGAATAAATTTATATACAAATGATTGAGGATATATAATTTATGTAAATACTAATATAAATATTAGAAATAATGATTAATGTCGAATAGAAGATCTTAAAGTAGATTTTATATGAATGTACTCATATTTTAGTTAATATTTGTTACTAAAATAACCATTAGTGTGAAAAATTACTAAATTTGGGTATTTTAAGGATTTTCGAGAAAACAATAAAAAATGTAAATAAAAAGAAAATTTTGGAAAATCTTTTTTGGTGTTTGGGAAATATGGCGGCTGATAGTGAAGAAGTTCGAGAAAAGATTTTTTTTTTTGAAAATTTTTAGAAGGGATTTGTTAAAGGCTTCTTTTTAGAAAAAATTTAAGGAAATCCTTGTTTTTAATAAAATTTTTAATTAATTAAGGCCTATACTTATTTTTTAACAAATTTAATTTGTAAATTCCCTTTACCTAATGCTTAAATTATTGAGGAAATTTTTGATATTTTAAAGGCTTTTTTGAGTATTTTTGGGAATTTTTAATTGATTTAGGAAGATATTATCAAAGCTTTGAGAATTTTTTGTAATAAAAATGAATTTTGTATCGATATAATATATAAATGTGGTATTCTAAAGGAAATTTTCGAAATTTTACTGGGAAAAAATAATCAATTAATTATTTAAATTTTAGATTTTTTAATTTTTTTATGTGAATATTAAGAAGATGAAATAAATAAAAAGATTTTCGTTTAGAAAAATTTCTAAGAAATAATAATTAAAGTAATGTAAAATAATAAACATTAAATTAAATTAAAATGCATTCTTTTTTTATAAATACTTATATCAGGAAAAGCCTATATGTCTTTTATTGCTGAAATCATTCTTTTTTAAGAAATTTTTAAAGTTCTTTTAAATTTCCTTGTCTTTGAAGATTTTTAAGTTAAATTGTAAATTTTGAAGTTTTTTTAAATTGTTTTAAAAACTGAAATGGGTATTTAAAAAATGATTTCATTTGAATATATTTAATTTTTATTGAAATTATCATCGTGTGGTTATTTAGAATTCGCTCAAATTTGTTTAGAATAACTTGATTTGATACTTGATTATGGATTATAAATATAGGAATGCTAGGATGATTGGGAAGATGGAGATAAATTTGGAAATAATTAAGTTTTTTAGTAGTTTTATTAATTTGAGGGAGTTAAATAGATTGAATTTTTGTTTAATTAATATTAAAAATCGAATAAAATTTAAGATAATATACTTAATTTTATTTAGAAATATAATCTTGTTAATTGAAAATATATATAAATATATATTTATATATATATATATATATATATATATATAAATAATTTTTTGTCAAAAAATAAAGTTTTTTATTTTTCTAATAAAAAATAAATATAATATTAATAAATTATTAAACTAATAAAAAAAAATGACTATTTATAAAGCTAGCCTATTATTAGCAGGAGTTAAAAAGTTTTTTTTTTAAATAAATATTTTTTTTAATCTTTTTTTTTTTACTATTTTATAAACATATATAGATATTCTTTGGTAATTGCGCAATTTGTACACATTCAATATATGTACATAATTAAATTGATTAATAATAAATTAATTTGATAAAAAATATTCATAATCCTGAATATAAAAGAGGTTTTTAAATTTCTAAATAGAAATTAATATTATTATTTTTTTTTTTAAAAAGTTTAAATATAACAAGAGTATAAATTTTTACATATTTAATTCTTTTAATTTTTTTTAGAATTTTATACCTATAATATTTAGATAGAGAAATTTTTTCTATTTATAATTTACCAATATATGCTGCCTCAGTTTTTTTTTTTTTTTTTTTTTTTTTTTTTTTTAATAATATAAATTTTATAGATTGTAGGTGGTTTGTTTTTACCAAAAACATTTTTTTTTATTATTAGTTCAGATTTTTTATTAAGATAAAAAATATTTATGGATAGAAATAAACATGATAACAAAATAACTTATTTTGAATAATCTATTGAATATAAGACTTTAACTTATTTAGAACTTTCTATGTTTATATTAGGAAGTTTAATTCCATTGAGGTATATAATAAAGGGAAAATGAAGAAAAAACATATTTAATTAAAAATATATTAAACAAAAAAAATATTAATAGCAAATAGATATTTAATAAAGATAAAACAAAATTAAAATCTTTTATTTATTTTATTCTAATATAATATATAAAATAAGAAAAAAAAAAAATAATATAATATTAAATTATTAATATATAAATATATAAAATAAAAATAAAAAAAATAATAAAAAAATTATATTAGAAATTTTAAGAAAAAAAAAAAATCAAGTTAAAAATATATATTAATAGAAATTATATATATACAATAAAAATATAAAATTTAAAAATAATTATGATTTAAGGAATAATATTATAATTAATAAAATTTAATGTATTCATTTCTTATAAAAAAAAGAAATATATTCAAAAATTAAAACAAACTTTTTTTTAAAGTAATTCGTATTTAGGAGGAATAATAAAAATTATTTTTCTTTATAAATTAGAGCAATTAGAATTTTCATTTTTATTTAAATAAACAAAATTACTATTGTTATTTATAATATTATTATAATTATTATTATTATTATTATTATTATTATTATTATTATTATTTTTATTATTATCATAATTATTTTCATTTTTGTCATTAATATTGTTTTTTTCGCCATAATCTTTATAATGGTTTTTATTATTGTTTACATTTTTTTCTATATTTATGTCTTTAATATTATCTTTAATCATTTAATTATTAGAAAATGATTATCTTGGTGAAAGTGTTTATAAAGATTATTATGTATTATTATTATTATTGTTTATTTATAAATTTATATTATTTTTTTAATCATTTGTACTAAAATTATAACTTTGTAAATATTATTAATATTATTTATCCGATAATTCAAGTAGTTAAAATGAAAGTTTTTTTGTAGAATCTAACAAACACATAGTCCAAGGTAATCTTCTTAAGTTTTCTATTTTTTCATATTTCTAATCTTCAACTAAAGGAAGTACATAATAAGCTAATAAATCAATTTTTTTTTAATTATCTTCTACAGCAAGTTAATCAAAATAATCTTTTATTTATTAATTTTTGTTATAAATCTAAATATAAATTAATAAAATATTTTACTTAAAAAACAACAATAATCCTATACAAATTTTTTCGAAGAAAATACCTTTTTTAAAAATGTTGTATTCATAGTTTTAATTGAGCTATTTTTTCTAAAAATAAAAATATATAATTATATATATATAAATATATTAATATTACCTAAAAGGTAAAACAAATTAAGAATCATTTACATGTTATTTAAAATAATGATTCATGCAAATTTCATTAGCTTCCTTAAAATTCATTTTTGAATTACATCGAATTTTAAGCTGAGAAAAAAGATATCTAAAAGCCTTTCTCATACAAAACTTTGTCATTTCTTCTTTTGTTTTTTTCAATTTCTGGAACTTTTTTATTAACATGTTAAATATGTTTAAATAAACGTCTTTTTTCTCACTAAATTATTCGTCTTCTAGTATAAAAATTCGCTTCTTTTAAAGAAGTTCTTCATCTTTATTTAAATAGGAAACTATATAATTTATTAAGGTCTTTATTTTAAAATATTCTTTTTATTTTTCTTAACTCATCATATTAGTTTAAATTATATTTTATTCATCGTATTCTTCATCGTCATAATCTAATAAAAATTCGCTAGCGTTAGACTTACTGAAATTTATTTATGTCGTTTATATAGTTTTAGGAGTTTCATATTATAATTCATCTTCTTTTTCTTATGAATTTATTAATGAGTTTTGGAGAGAGTAGCTGTTTATTATTAATTGTTATTAAGTTAATTACGGGTGAGAAAATTATAGATTTTCTTGAGGAGTTTAGGGAGTTAAAGGAAATTAAATTTAAGGTTATATAGACTTGGATTTAGGAGAAATTATTTGGCAAATAGATAATTCGGATTTGTTTATTTAAGTAGATGGAGGACAAGTAGAAGTATTCATTATTTTATTTATTTTGAGGTATTTATTTATTTGCTTTTATAAAAATTTTATTATATTTTTTATTAATTTTTTATTTTTAATTTTTTTTTTTCAATTTTTGTGTTTATATTTTATTAATTTTTTTTGTTTATTTTTTTATATTGAAAAAAAAATTAATTATTTGTTTATATATATATGTATTTTTTGGTGTTTTTTTTTTTTTTTTCCTATTATATTTTAATATTTATTATTTTTAATTTTTATTTATTTTATTTAATAATATAAAATAAAAATTATAAATATAACAATAGCAAAATATAAAAATGTTTTATTAAATTATAAAAAAATCAATATCAAAATATATATAAAAAATAAAAACTAAAAATTAATAAAAAATAATTAAAATTAAATTAAAAATTTTACTATTATATATATAATTAGTAATTAAAATATGAAATAAATATAATTAATATAAAATATTATAAAAGGAATTTCTAAAATTTTTAAATATTAATTTTAATTTTATTAATATAGATAATTAATAATGAATAATAAATATAATACAATCATTTAATAAATATTGAATTTTTTATAAATAAATGTTCTTAAAATTAAAAATATATTTATTTTTTGCATTTTTTATTATTTATATTTATATAAATAAAAAAATGATTTTATATTGCATATAAATACATAAATATAAATAATATAATTTAAATATTTATTTTATAATATTATATATTATATATGTATCAGTTTTAAAAAATAAATAAATATTAATATTTTAATAAAATAAATTTTAGTTTAATAATATTAATATTATTTCTATTTATAATATCATATATTTTTTTTTATTAATATTTATATTTTTCTTTCTCATGTTATAATTAATTATTTTTTAATTTATTATTCTAATTGAGTTATTATTTAAGTAGAAATTATCTAACTTTTTTATACTTAATATCATTTTTATTTATCCGTTTTGTCTAGGTTATATATCCATATTTACTATTTTTATATTTATTTTTATGATCTATTTTTTTTTTTTTAAATTGAATAATTATTTAGATTTTTTTTATTATATTAAAGATGCTATAATTTAATATATTTTAAGAAAAAAATTATTAATTATTATAATAATTATATTATATTAAAGTTTTATTATATTTTTTCAAATAAATAATTAATTATAAAATTATTTTTTAAATTTTTTTAGCTTATATTGAAGAAATATATCTAGTTGATCTTTAATTAATAGAAAATATATTCCTCATAATTAATAAAAAAATAAATATATATATATATATATTAAATAATTTAAAATAAAAAACGTATTATAAGAAAATAAAAATATAAGCAAAATTAATAAATAATTTATAAAAACGATATATATTTTGTATATTTATTATAAATTAATTAATAATTATTTTTATATCATGATAATTATATATAATAAATAATTTTTTTTTTTAAAAAAAAAATAAATAACAAAGAGTTAGTTATTAATTTAAAATAAAAGAGCATATTATATTCAATTTATATTAGTAGATTAGAGTAATAGTTTAATTTTATTTTAGTTAATTTTCTTTAATATACATATAATTATATAAAGAAGTTTTTTTTTAATTAATTAAATATATTATTAATTTATATTATTTATAATAGAATAAATATTAAATATTATTAAATTAAAATAATCATAATAAAATAAATATATATCATATAATATATAATAAATATTACATTTTTCTAATTAATTTTTTAATTTCTTACAATATAAACTATAATTATATATGTATTTAATATATTTAATTTATATATATTTATTATATATTTTTTTATCTATATAAATTAATTATTAATTTTCTAATAATAAAAAAAATCTTCAATTTTTTTCTTGTCTAAAATATCTTATGTAAATTCACTTTTAATCTATTAATTATTACTTTCAAGTATAACTTTTTTAAGGTTATTTTATAGATTATTTTATTAACAATTTTCTTAACAATCTTAATTATTTTTTTAGTAATTAACTTTATTATTATTTTAAAATTCTTTTAAAATTGATTTTTATTATAAATTCAATATATTAATGTCTACACCTTATTCTTAGAATAATTATTTTATTTAGTTTTTTCTTTCTTAACGACTCAATGATTTATTAAGCTTTATTAGTTTCATTTACTTCATTAAGTCCACCTTCTAATCTTCTGTTAATTAAGAATTTTAATCTAGAAAATGCTTAATTAATTATTTTTAATCTTTAAAAGCTAATTTAGCATATTATTCAATATTAACTCCTATTTTTTACAATAACTCTTCTATTTTTTAGTTAGTTTATTCTGCTGTAAGAGATCGGTCATAAATTATTTTATTAATATTTTTTCTAAAGTATGTTTCTTGGCTTTTTGTTACACCTAGTTTTTTTAAGTATTTTTCGAAGTTTTAATAAGAAAGTGTAACTAAGAATAGGAATATAAGAATTTTTTTCATATTTTTATATTTTTATTATATTTGTTTTGTTTGTTTTATATTTTTATTTAAAAAAAAGTTGTTTGCTATATAAAAATAGCTTTTTTATTATATATTGCTAAAAAAATTAATGGTTTTAAATAAAATTTAATCATTTTTCTTGTTTTTTTTTAATTATTTTTTAGCAAAATTTAGTTATAGATTAAAATATAGCAATTTTTTATAAATTATATTTATAATTATGGAATTTATAATAATATAATGTAAAATCTATTATTTTTTATTATTTTTTTAAGCAATATATAATTTTTATAATATTAATCATATAGAAATTTATAAAAGCAATTATTTTAAAAAATAATAATAATCAAAACTAAAAATTAATTGTAGTATATTAAGTATTATATATATTAAAATTTATAAAAATTAATTAATAATGAAATATTTAGTTTTAAAATTAAAAATTTTTTTAATAATAATAATTATGCTATCAACTTTATTATCTTTATTTATTATTTAATATAAAATTTAAAAATTTTAAATAAAAATACATGATAAAATTTATATATAGATATATTAAAATATAAATTTAAAATTCAATTTGATATATTTCATAAATAAACTTTGATTAATAATATTAAATATTATTATTTTTTTCGTTTATTTAAGCAAATATATTAACACATAAAAAAATATATATTATAAATAAAAAAGGACAAAATAAAAAATGAGTACGATCTTAAAATCCTTAATGTTATAAAAATAAGAAAAATAAAGAATTGAAATGCGAAAAAAATAAATAAATAAAAAAATATAAAATTAAAGAACAAAATAAACTAACAAATAATAAACATAAGAATTCGAATAAATAAAAAACTCATTAATAGAATAATTAAATACACTAGAATTATATATAAACTAAAATTAATAGAATAATATTTTAGAAATTATAAAATGCATATAAGAGTATTTATTTTCGTCTGTAAATAACTAAGTGATCGAATTTTTAAATTTGTCAAATTATCCTTTTACATTAATTAATTTATTAAAAAAAATTAAAACGAATAAATATAAAAAAAAGTATTTAAATCTTTACAAAATTTAACTTGTACAAAAAATGAATTAATTTTTGAAAAAATGGTAGAAATGGGAATTTTAGAATAATTTATTTAAGTTTTTTAAAGCGGAAATATAAAAAATATTAATCGAATACTTTTTTGTTTAGGAAATTTATGCGGTATTTTCAATGAAAAAGTATTTGATGAAATATTAAGACTTAATTTTTTATATTAAATTGAGTATTTTTTAGATGAATAAGACTTAGAAGAAGATTTATGCTTTTTTATATCAAATTTTTTGACAAATACTAAAGTTTAATATAGTTTTGTAAATATATATTAAATATAATTAAATATATAAAAAAAAAATATACATATTCTATGTATATATATATATATATATATATATATATATA